CTGTATTCTATAATTAGCTATCCAGAAAATAAGACAAAATATAAAGGTAAACTGCCTTACAATTCCTAAATTATAAATCTTCCCTGGTTTTTAATTGGGTGTTCATTAGTTATTCCTCCCGCTGCACAAGTTTGTTCTGTGCTGCCCAACCTCTTAAATTCCCTGCTACTCCTACGACTTGGCAAACCCTTCTTCCTTCCGGGTCTATTCCCCTAGTGCGCAGGCCTATTGGTTAGTCTGCAGAGCTCAGCCTGTGAAGCATCCTCGCGTGGCCCACCACCACCTGCACCCCTGCTGCTCCTTCCCAGACCAACAGATGGCATTTTCATCAGGTTCTAATAAGTGTGCACTCTGTTTTAGCAGTTCCTCCAGGATTAATTTATCTTTACAATTCCCCTCTAGATTCTGAGTTCCTTCAGGGTGGGCCATTAGTTCTCTTCATGTCTGTAGATCAGCATCCCGAAAGGCCTAAGTGGTCAGGATAGGCTGAGGGACCCAAAAACCCTAGTCTCTGAATCCTCACTCAAAAGGACACACTCTAGACTTCTTGCAGTTCCTCCTGTCTCCCTGAGCTTGCTGCTTTTCACACTCCTTCAAGCCCTTGCCCATGTCATCCACTGCCTGGCATGTTCTTCCTTCCCAGCCTCTTCAGGTCTCATCCTAATGGTCTCTTCCTCAGGAAGGCCTTCATTATCAGCACCAATGTTAAGTTACACTCTCTCCCACCTTAACACTTGGTCACACTTTATCGTAGTCACTGGTGTAATATCCATCTTCAAGGCTAGCCACTAAGAGGCCAAGAAGGCAGAAGTCACACAATTCTGTTTACCCTTATATCCTCACTGCCTAGTAGATTGCTGGTGTCCAGCAGATACTCAGTGATTACTGAATAAAAGAATAAAATAATGATATACCTAACAATGCTTAAGACTCAAAGAAGATGAATGGCCCTAGAGAGCCTTTCTTATACATCTTAATACATAATAAATATTCTAGATTTTCAATCACCTATATTAAATGAATGATTAAACTTAGTCTGCCTAGTCACAGGGACAATCTCTCCATTAAGGGTCAGTCTCTGAAACCTAAGCACAGCTGCCTCTCAGGTTTACTTCCCGTGCCAGACTTATTAGCCATCATGTGAACTCTTTAGTCCCCTTCTTAAAGGCGCAGAGCTCCCCAGACAACATTTTGAAACCATATGGTATAAGCATTACTGATAAAGTTTTACGGATTTTTTTTTATTTTTCTCTTCCTATTTTCTTGTGAAGGCCCAACTGAGGCAGGCCACTGGAGGCTTGTAAGCAGATGGGTAGGATCTATGCTTTAGATTATTCTGGAAGCAGGATGGAATGGATTAGAGCCGTGATTTTTCAACCTTTTTCATCTTATGGTACATACAAACTACTAAAATTCTGCAGCACACCAAAAAAAATACATTTTTTGCAGATCTGACCAAAAAAATTGGTATAATTTTGACTCATTCACAACTGTTGTGTTGGCCATTGTCCTTTTCTTATTTGACAATCTAAGGGAAAAAGAGGTCAGTGCTCCTGACTAAATAATCACATATTGCATGGTTTAAAAATTCTCGTGACACCCCAGTTGAAAATCATTGAATTAGAGAAGTTTTGAATCTAAGAAAACAGACGTGAAACCCTAACGCTTTCTCCCACTTGAGTAGAAAAGCATTTGTGTATATGTTTAATCCCCCATCTGAGTTCCTTCCCAGTTGAGGGCAGAGGTTTATCATGTCCATCTCTGGAACCACCATGACACACTTGGAGAGCATTAAAAAGTGGAGGAAGGACTGGAAACAACCCAACTAGCCATGAGCAAGTGAATGGATTAACAATGGGAGTAGCCACACAATAGAATACTACTCAGCAATACAAATGAACTGATAGGTGCAACAATATGAATGAATCTCAAAATAATTATGCTGAGTGAAAGAAGCCACATACAAATTATATACAGTGTATAATTCCATTTACATAAAATTCTAGAAAATGCAAACTATAATTAGATAAAGCAAACCAGTGTTTGCCAGAGGACAGGGAATGGAGCAAAGGAGGACATTGGTGAAGGGGGCAGGTGGGGAGAATTATGATAGAAGGTTAGGAAACTCTGGGGAAGGGGGTACTGATGGATATGGTCATTATTTTGATTGCAGAGATGTTTTCATAGACAAATATATGTCAAAACGTAGCAAATTGTACTTTAAACATGTTGTAGTTTATTGAATGCCAACTATACCTCAGTAAGAAGTTATTGTTGTTTTGAAGTACAGATGGGTATGGCAGAGAATGTTATAAAGTGTCATTTGAGCTGGAAGATATAGCCTTGGCTTAAAGAAACCTCTGACCAAGCTAGGAAGAGGCAGTTCAGTCCAGACCAGGGAAAGAACAAAGAGGTTTAGGAGAAGATGAATAGACCATTTTAATTTGAGCAGAAAAATTTTTTTAAAAGAGGCAGATTATTGAGGGCCTTGAATATCAAGCTTTTTCAAAGAATGCATTCGATTGCAGTTCCATGACTCCCCAAATGATCCTGGACAGGTTATTTAACTTCCCCAAGACTCATTTTCCTTTTTGTATAAATTAAGGATTATAATAATGGAACCAGTCTTGAACAGTGGTTATAAAGATTAACTTAGGCAATGCATGTAACACGCTTGGCAGAAGACCAGGTAAATAGGTGCTCTAAAAAGGACACAGAACCCAAAAATAGAAAGCAAAATAACAGTAACAACTTGAAAATAGGTGCTTAACAAGTAGAAGCAATTATTATAAAAATTATTGTTATTAACCCCAACATGAGCAAACGTATACAAATATTTGCGCAAGACAAAGAAGTGCTCAAAGAGGTTCCTTAGGAACCTCTTATTGTCTCACCATTACTAATCACCAGCCCTCTGAAGTTAAAATACTAAGCTCTATCACTTCTACCCTCTTCCTCACTCTGTAACTTCCTTCCTAGTAAACAGCATGCCCAGGAGGAGCCCATTACCAGCAACTAAGGTTCTCTAATGATAGCACAGGGATTCCATCTGATGAGTCCTACCACTGCAGGACAAACTAAACTGAACTGAGCTATGGCCTCTGGGATGGAGAACCAGAGGCCCCCAATCCCATCCTCAAAGCCTCCACCACTACCACCAACACCATAGATATATATTCAGGGTGTTTCCTGAAGAGAATAAAGCAGGTGACATTTTTTTAGATTTTAATTTTAAACCATAGATAGTCCCACCCTCCCCCAAATCCAGAGGGAGGCCCAGGTTTTAAGTTACCTTACTTTCTCAGGGCTCTTAAACACTTAACTAACAGTTTATTCTCTGAAGGGTTTCTGAGGAGAAGCCTCAGTCTCCTCATCTATAAAATGGTAGATAATAATGGTAACTACTTCATGAGGTTCTTGTGACGATTTAACGAGTCCATGTGCGTAGAGGATCTAGAACATTGCCTGGCACATAGTAAGTGCTCTGTGGGTGTTAGCTAAAATTTCATAAGGACTTTATTTCTTCTATCTTGTTTATAATGCTTCTTATTTGTTGTCATGTATTTTCCAATTACTAAGCATTAACAAAGTCCTTATGACAGGCCTCAGTGCTCCTCTTAGCTAGAAGTATGGCTGATGTCTTATAAAATAATTTAAAATGTATTTTTAAATATATTCCAGATAAAGGAATTTTAAGTTAACTGGTAATTTTATTAACAATACCATCTACACATAATGAAACACATAATGAAACATAATATTTATTAAGTCCACGATAATGTCCGGTGTCCATTTTGACTCGTGAAACCCCTGCAATAGATTCCAGAACCCTTTAGTCAAAAGCAGAGTTGAGTAACTGATTTGATCATCAGTGTCTTTACCAGCAAAATCAAGGCTTAGACGGAAAAGTTCAACAAAATAAAACTAAAATGCAGTTGTCCTCACATCTGAGAGTACAATGGTGGACAGTTAGCTGCATGGCCAGTGCTCAACCTCATTTATAAAAGGGCTATTGACCTTGCCTACCTTACAAGGTCTGTCTTACATGGTTTCCTGAAAAGCAAATGAGACTGGTAAATGCAAATTAAAACTTCATCTCCATGTGGAACAGAGTACTGGTTGGGGCGGGGCGGGGGTGGGGGTCAGGGGGCGCTTCAAAAAAGGGAAAGGGTCTTTCCAGCAATGAATGCTCTCAATATAATGAAAATGCAAGACACTAAACTGAGAAACATAACAGAGAAGACCTATCATTGCCACCTCCTCTCTGGGGCAAAAAAGAATCTTAACAGGGGTCTCCTCCCCCTAGCTGTTGCTCTGAAGTGACCATGGACAGACTTAGGGGAAGGAGCTCCTAAAACATTTCCATTTTCATCATGTTTTCACATATATCTAATGGAAATGAACCGCACCAATCCATCCATGGAAGTGATTAAGGGGTGCGATAAGAAAATTCAACAAATACTAAGTGTTTAAGTGTCCGCTATGTGCCAGGCACTTAGTTTAACAGTGACAATATAAGGCAAAACCAGACTAGCAAAGTCTGTTAAGGGCTTGATAAAAACTGTAACAAAATAAAAACTACAAAAGCAAAATAAACCGATCCGATTTCTGACAGCTGCTAGGAAGATAAAATCGTGAGGGACCAGGACAGGAAGGAGATGCCCAAATTCCTGAGTGTAGGTCTTTAAAGTCTAAGACGTGACTTAGAGCCCGAGCCTAAATGGCTGGTGCCTTGAAGTAGCTGGAGTCCAGAGAATTTGAAAAAAATTAAATGCAAAAATTATCCACAGGAATGAGAAACAACAGGGATTTCAAAGCCCCAAAGTGAGCACTGAAAACCAGCATTTATTAATTTCGTAACGGCTCATGACGTTGAGTATCACTGGAGTCTAATCAGGGAGAGGGTGGAACCCGGTAGCGCAGAGTGCCCAAAGTGCCCAGAGTCGCTGGTGTCTCCAAAAGACCACACGGCAGAGCATTAATACTGAGCGGCACCGAAGCAGCTATCAAACTCTCCAGAAAATTCTTCAGGTCTGTGACGCAGTGTTCGCAGGATCTGGGCTGTTACGTGCTGGAGTTCTTCCTTAAATGAAGAGGGCTGAAATCATTTCGTTTTAAAATACCAATGAGACATACCCAATAAAAAAATCAAGACACCACAATCTCAAGGACGGAGAGCGGGAGGAGCCGTTCGTAACGTAATTTATAACTCATGCAGGGAAGCAAACGTACAGAAAGGGGTTAAAGACGCGCCCTGGGTTGAGAGAGCAAAGCCAATCGTGCTCCAGAAACGTCAAGTCAAAGGCTTAAAGAAGCCACGTCTACCGTATCCCGTGACCTTCAGCTAAAATAACTTACTAGACGAGAAGGAAAATTAGTGCACAGCTCTTTCTGTTGATTACGGGGGTGGCTCTGAAAAGAGCCTTTGGAGTCAAGCAGCCAGCGACTCGTAGGAACGCCTCCTCCCAGTAACGGACTCATTTGGAGCTGGTGTACTTGGTGACCGCCTTGGTGCCCTCGGACACGGCGTGCTTGGCCAATTCCCCGGGCAGCAGCAGGCGCACGGCCGTCTGAATCTCCCGGGAGGTGATGGTCGAGCGCTTGTTGTAATGCGCCAGGCGGGACGCTTCCCCGGCGATGCGCTCGAAGATGTCGTTGACAAAGGAGTTCATGATGCCCATGGCCTTAGACGAGATGCCAGTGTCAGGGTGCACTTGCTTGAGCACCTTGTACACATAGATGGAATAGCTCTCTTTGCGACTACGCTTGCGCTTCTTGCCATCTTTCTTCTGAGCTTTGGTGACCGCCTTTTTTGAACCCTTCTTGGGCGCGGGAGCGGATTTTGCCGGCTCCGGCATTGCAGAACACTACACACTGGTTAGCCAAGAATAGGACTAAGATGATAGGCGGGCCTGATCCTTTTATAACCACCGTATGCAAATTAGGGCTCCAGCAACATTTCGTTTCCATTGGTGCAAGTAGAAACATTGCGTTTCCAGTAATAGCTACGTGACAACACCGATTCTTGACCTTATTGGTCATTTCTGAAGCCAATTTAGGACCAATGAAAAACGCGTTTCTGACCCCACCCCTAGGAAAGCTTATAAAGGCTTTCTAATTGCTGATCTTTCAGTCTTGTTTGGCTGCAAGGTTTTCAGTTTTAAGAAGCGTAGTGTTATTCTCAGTCATGTCTGGTCGCGGGAAGCAAGGGGGCAAAGCTCGCGCCAAGGCCAAGTCGCGCTCGTCCCGCGCTGGCCTCCAGTTCCCGGTGGGCCGAGTGCACCGGCTCCTGCGCAAAGGCAACTACGCCGAGCGGGTGGGGGCTGGCGCGCCCGTCTACATGGCGGCCGTGCTGGAATACCTGACCGCCGAGATCCTGGAGCTGGCGGGTAACGCCGCCCGAGACAACAAGAAGACGCGCATCATCCCTCGTCATCTCCAGCTGGCCATCCGCAACGATGAGGAGCTTAACAAGCTTCTGGGCAAAGTCACCATCGCCCAGGGTGGCGTTTTGCCTAACATCCAGGCCGTTCTGTTACCAAAGAAAACCGAAAGCCACAAGGCCAAAAGTAAATAAGTGTTGACAAACTGAACCAAAGACCAAAGGCTCTTTTTAGAGCCACCCAACCTTTCAAGCAGCAAAAAAAAAGAGCTAAGGTGCTATTTTGTTATCAGCCCTTCATTTGATACTTTGGTGGCTCTTAAAAGAGCCTTTGGGGTGGGAGTGGTGTTTCAAGCCCAATCACTTGTTCTTGCCAGGCTTATGACTCTCCGTTTTCTTGGGCAACAAGACAGCCTGGATATTGGGCAAGACACCGCCCTGGGCAATAGTAACACCCCCAAGTAACTTGTTGAGCTCTTCGTCATTCCTCACGGCTAGTTGCAAGTGGCGAGGAATGATGCGCGTCTTCTTGTTGTCTCGGGCGGCGTTACCCGCCAGCTCCAGGATCTCGGCGGTCAGGTACTCCAGCACGGCCGCCATGTAGACGGGCGCGCCGGCCCCCACCCGCTCGGCGTAGTTGCCTTTGCGCAGGAGCCGGTGCACTCGGCCCACCGGGAACTGGAGGCCGGCGCGGGACGAGCGCGACTTGGCCTTGGCGCGAGCTTTGCCCCCCTGCTTTCCGCGTGCTGACATCACGGCTAAAGTAGAGCAGTGACAGCTTGTTTTACCATGGGAAAGATGTGTCAAGAATAACCAATTTGATGTAATTTATAAGAGCTACAGGGAGGGGGTGAAGAGAGGTAGTTTGATTGGCTATCCAACAGCCAGTGGGAAAGCAGAAAGCATATTTTTCGTTTGCATCCGGCAATACCAGGAAATGACGGATTCCGTTAACTACCTACCAATTGCTGGGACCTATATTAAAGCCCTTTATTTGCATGCCAGGATTTTTAAAGAGAGGTTCAAACAAGACGTTTTGTTGCTTTTCCTTTCCAAGTGGCATTTTTCCAGTTTGGGGGGGGGGGGTTGTTTTGTTTTTTGTTTTTTCCGCTTAGAGCTGGAAGGGAAATCCCAAGAAGGACCCAAAAGGACTGCAGAGGGTCTCCAGCAGACGCATTTACTCCCACTCAGGGGTATGGGATTATGAGGCCGATTATCTCCTTGAGTCCTAAATTGCCCTCCAAGTCCTGAGGTTTCTGTCTCAACCCTGCCAAACTCCCCTAAAGAATATATGCTACTAAGGCAACTTCCTTTCTACGTTCTATTTAGTCATTATCTTTGGTGTGCCTTGCCCCATCCCAAGCCGCCTCCTCTCCGCGGAATCCAGAGTGACTAAGGGCTGCAATAAATTGGTCTGCCTCCTCTTGGCCTCCAGGAGGCGTCAGATACCGCCTTCAAACTTGCTCCCTTGGCTTTGAAAATGTCCTCCGACTTTCCGTATCCAGCTCCTATTCCTCTGCCCATCCCTAAATCCGCGTGTCCATCCGAGCTCTGCCTCCCTCCTGATCCCTTCCATTGCTCATTCTTCCCTAAGAGTCTTACCCACTTCCATGCTTTCAGCAAAGTAACATCCAAACTTGTTGCAGAAACTCAGAGCCTTACACCAAAATGCTCACTGATTATTTCAACCCGTTCTTCCAACTACTCGACCTAAACAAACGCGAATTTATTCAAACAATACGCACCCTCCTTCCTTTGTTCTGTTTTCCTGAATTGCAACAACAATCTTGCAGGTCCCTAAGCCAGAATCTGCTCCCTGCATCTAACAGCATATCCGGTTATTTCTTTAACGTCTCTTTAGTCTTTTCCTCCACACCCCTTATGAATGCTTCTTCATCCTCTCTTAGATCAGCAACAGACCCTGAAGATTTGTTTGCAGGTTCCTAATCCTCCACCTGCCTTTCATAGAAATCATTCCTGAAAGTTCTGTTTCTTCCTCTTTAGCTTCCCATCCCTGGGAGTTCTACATCCTACAAACCATTTTCACCCTTTCCTGAGTATCCCATAAGAACATGAGGCAGAATGCTACAGAGAATAGACAAATTCTATTCCTTGAGTCCTTTCCTGATGTTCTATTTTATCCTCACCTTTTTATACAGTGCATGCTACCTAACAGGCTATGGACATACAGAATACAGACTAGTACAAAGAAATGTAATTAGATGCCTCTAGAAAATGGAGGAATTCTGAACTCTGGAAGTTAAATTAGTTAATACCAGCTACCTGAAGAGATTACCTCTAGTAAGAATGCTGGTATAGATTTGTGAAACACCCAAATCCAATCAAAAGTGATGGGGGGGGGTGTTTCCTCAATAGTAGAATATAACTGAAGATCATTCTAACCCAATCAATTATGTCATTTCAGAAGATGCCTGTGTTAATAGGAAAATATGGTCCACTTACAGTCTAAAAAGGGCAATTACAGTAGAAATGTGTTATGTTTTTCCAACAGTGAATATACGTGTCTGCTAGACACAAAGGTCTGGGCTGTTATAGGAGGGTCCCTAGTTGTGAAAGCATCAGCCTTTTCTCACAGTCTTGTGAACTATTTCTAAACACTATCCAATTCTCTTAGCTCAGATTCTGTGCTCAATTAACAACTCTCTGATTATTCTATATCAAGAAGTCAATCAACTCTAGAAGTTCTGATAGTGTAAAGTTTTCAGGAATACAGAGTCTGAACCCAGATAGCGGGGACCCTACCAAAACTCTGACACCCAGAACAGCCATGCTTGAGAGGCCAGCTGACTTCCCTCTCTCTGAGCTCTGATGTATTCTTTCACTTCTATTACAGTGACCCTGTGCTTATAGGGAGACTAAAAGGAAAAGAGATTATACTGAACTCTTATTATGTGAAAAATCCTATGCTGGGGGCTACTGGGGCTACCTAGGAAGTAAATGTAATTGCGTGTTTCACAGATAAGGAGTTAAAGGATTTGCTATAAGTCACACAGCCACTTACTAAGACAAGATTAGAACCCAGGTCTGTCTGCGTCAAGGATTGCTTTTTACCACTTCATTCATACTGCTTCACTAACTAGACATTGGGCTTAATGAATTCATTTAACCTACACGGCATTGCTTTCCTCCTCTGTGAGAGAGAGAGATAATTAGACAATGCCTTAGACTCCATCCAACTATAAAACCTTAGCAGATAGGTCTACATAGGCCAATATCCTTCACATCATCCCAGACTCAATTACTATCTATTGCTCCTCAGAGGTCCTTTCCCAACATCCTTATAAAGGCTATTAAAAAATAAAACAGAGCAGGCCATTTATAAAAATAGTACACCATCACAAACAAAGAGGCTGGATCTTATTTCTGTAACACCTCTGGGATTTTTAACTAAAGGCAACTGAGCTCCTTCCCAAGCAATCTAGTTGATCAAACATTTATTTTACACTCTAGCTACATCCCACCACTCAACCATAGTTCTCTTCCTTCCCCTTTCTCTCCACCTCTCCCCAACACCATCCCAGCCTCCTCCATATTGAGCTGCTCACCATTCAGGGGATGAGGAAGGCCTTTCCACAGCACCCCACCATTGCACACACAGTTGCCTCCAGCTAGAATACTTCACCCTCTTCCTGACCTGCAAAATCCTCCTCATCTTTCCAATTTCAACCCAGATATCACCTCTTCCTCCCTGAGGCCTCCTCTGTTCCACACACACAGCCTCAATGTACCCACATTTCTTTGTTCACATCCTGGTGACAGCACCGCCCTGTACTGTACTTTGACCTTGGTCTCATTTACTTTTTGTGACCACCTCAAGGGAGAGACCATATCTTCTTCATCTTTGAATCAGGAGTCCTTAATTCCCTCTACCTGACTCTTAATAGGGTAGTTGAATGTTTTTGGCACGGGGCTACCTAGTGTGGCTCAGTGGATTGAGCCCTAGTCTCAATCCACTAGGTGTTGTGGCATACACCTGTAGCCACAGTCTACAAGGGTCGCTACAAGGGTCGCCACAAGGTAATCCTCCCGCTGCGGGCAGCGGCCAAGAAGCCACTTGTCGCTACAAGGGTCGCCACTTCTATTATCAGTCAGGGCACGGCCTAGGTTGCAGGCCAGGTCCCCAGTTGAAGGCGCGTGAGAGGCAACCATACACATTGATGTGTCTCTCCCTCTCTTTCTCCCTCCCTTCCCCTGTGAAAAAATAAATAAATAAAATCTTTTAAAATAAATAAATAAACAAATATTGGATTTATCCTATGACCCAGCAATTCCACTCCGAGAAGTACCCCAAACAGAAATGAATATTTGCATCCAATAAAAAGCATGTACAAGGATGTGGTATATTCATGTAACTACAATGCTACACAACAATGAAAATGAAGAAATTTCTGCGATGCACATGGATGAATCTAACAGAAAATGTTGAGCAAAAGAAGACAACACAAATGAATTCATACTATGTGATTCTATTTATGTGAAGTTCAAAAATAAGCAATATTAATCTATGGTGAGAAAGGTTAAGATAATGATACTACGACAGGGGGTATTGACTTCAAAAATAGACAAAATTACTCTATGGTGAGAAAGGTTAGGATAATGATACTATGACAAGGTGTATTGACTTCCCAGAGCCTTCAAAGGTGCTAGACATTTTCTGTATCTTGATATGTGTAAAATTAAGCTGCACACTTAAGATTTATAAATTTCTCATGTGAAAATTATATGTCAATAAACACAAATTAATTTTTTCTAATAAGCAAACATTGAAGTAATCATGGGGTATGGGAAGAATGAGTATTTTGTCAGACATCCCAATCCTCATGTTACAGATTAGTGCTTACTATTGTTTGTTTTATTTTAATTATGCATGAGGGGGCCATCATAATCTCTAGGCACTTAAAAGCCTCTAAAAGCCTTAATCTGGCCATGACAAACCTTCACTAAAATAATAAATACTTTTATGGTTATTTTTTTATTAGAAAAAAAGACTACAGGTTACCCTAAAGAGCTTACCCCTTACTTGCAAAGTTTTCATTTATTTTTGCAATAAGAACAATAATGATGTCAGCCCTCTCTATTCATACATTAGTTCATCTTATTGAACACCCACGTATGCCACAACACCTAGAATGCAGTGAATACATTCCCTCTGCCTAGATCTCTTTATGCCTAGATCTCTATTTCTACATGGTTAGTTCTAGTCGTTCAAAATGTTCTCTGTGCCTCTAAGTCTGAGTGACATGCCTTCTTGGCACACTGTTCTCAGTCCCATCATAGCACTTAGCAATTGTCCGCTCACTTGTCCATCTTCTCCAGTCTTCTGTAAATTCCTTGAGAACAGTGTCTTCTTTATTATCCAGCCTGTCGAACTGGTCTGACACACAGTAATTATGTGCTCAATAGATGGAACGGACTTCCATTTTCTTACATGTAAAATAAAGGAGTTGGGCTGCATGGTGGGAAGTAAAATATATCGAAAAACCCCAATCCCAATTGCGCAGGGATTACCTGGTTTTGTTTGTTGTTTCTGTTTTGTTTTGTTTTGTTGTTTTGTTTTGTTTTGTTTTGTTTTGCGGAGGTGAGTTGCATTCCTTTGCTACCTCACCTCCAACAATCTCACGAGCCGGAAGAATCAGACTACAATTCCCGTGAGCCCTCGGGGCATCACCTAGCGCCTGCGCAGTCTACAATAGCGTAGCGAGGACTCCGTTTCCCAGCGTGCCTCACTCAGGACGCGAGGACTGCATTTCGCCTACAACGACTGGCGTCTTGTCCCAGTTCCGAGACTGTTCCGAGACTGTTGTAGCCAAGGCTGAGCCGAAGGTAGAAAGGGCCCGGCCTGGGATCGGAGGGGATGCTAGTCCACCCGAAAGCCCGGAGTTGCATATAGCTGCTTTTGCAACCTCCGTCCCATTCCTTGTTAATCCCCTTATTAGCGCGGGCCTTGCGCGCGGGCCTTCGGTAATCCTCCCGCTGCGGGCAGCGGCCAAATTCCCCGACGTCACACAGAGGAAAAGGGCGGGGTCTCGGTGTCAGGCCTCGAGGCCGCTTGTCCTGCTGCTGAGGACTGTGGAAGTTGGTCGGTGGCAGTGAGGGTGGGTGGGTGGAGGACTCGGCTCTCACCGGAAGGGAGCCCTGACACTCACTGTGCTGGCCCTTGTCTTTACGGTAGCCGATGCTGAGTGGGCAGCTGGTCAGGCGTCTGCTCTCCATGGCCGGCCGCATCTGCTTGTCCCGGGGCACCTCGGGATCCGGGACCATAGGTCCCGTCGAAGCCGCCATTCGCTCGAAGTTGGAGCAGGCCCTGAACCCCGAAGTTTTGGAGCTCCATAACGAGAGCGGCGGCCACGCGGTCCCACCGGGCAGTGAGACGCATTTCCGCGTGGCGGTGGTGAGCTCTCGCTTCGAGGGACTGAGCCCTCTGCAGCGGCACCGGCTGGTCCACGCTGCTCTGTCCGAGGAGCTAGCTGGGCCGGTCCACGCGCTGGCCATACAGGCGCGGACCCCTGCGCAATGGAGGGAGAACCCTCAACTGGACGCGAGCCCCCCCTGCCTGGGTGGAAGCAAGAAAACTCGAGGAACCTCCTGAACCCCATGAGAACAAGGACCAGAGAAGCCCAGTGGATTGGGTGAGAGTGAACTACTGGGGCCGTCCCTTTAGTACAGTCCAATACTTGTAAGGGATGAGGACCGCTAGAGTCCCGTTCAACTGGCACAAACATTATTCTCTGGAAATAACAATTCATTTCAGATCAAAGATAACCCCAAAAAAGACTAGAATCACTACTGCTTTTGCCTTGGACTATTCAGGAAAAGCTGCCTAGTTGTTTTGAAGCTAAATTGTGACCAAGAAGCCACCAGATCTGATGAGTTAGAAATAATCCTGTATATTAAAGAGAAATTATCATATGAAGTGTGTTGCTGTGTTATTAATGGCATGTCGAATCAGTGCTACAGATGCTCTTGAGAGAAGAAAAACACCTGTAGCCTAGGTTAATTAGGGAGGGCATCATGGGGAAGTGACTTAGTTGGATCTTCAAAGGAAAGAACAGAATTAAACCAGAAAGGAAGGATGTAGCAGGCGAGGGGAAGAGCCCCCACAAAGGCATGGAAACTAGACTGGGCAGTGACTGACTGGACAAGACAGGGGATATGGACACATTTGAGTTTCATACTGACGGAATGTGTCTAACAGCCTATCCATTTCCCAAAGGATTTGCATTTGTAAGAAAAATCGTTGGGGGAGAGGAAATACTAAGGCAGTGAAAAGGTGATAACCTGGGAAATGAATCTAGAAAATGGAGAAATGGCTATGGGAGATGGAGCCTTCCAAATGATAAGTCATATTTCTGAGTGCTTAAGTAATGTGTATATAAGCTAATTTCTGATTATCTCAATGTGGAAATAGAATTTAGATACCAAGGGAAAAAGTTTGATTAATATGTATCTTAACCGTTTATGGCTGAAGAGTTTAGACTGCATCTGGTTAAGGGAGTCATTGAGTTTTGAGGAAGAACATGCTATAGAGAATTGTGGGGCAGATTGATCTGGCATTGATATGTTTAAGTGGGTTCGCATAGGAGATTGAAGACACTGATCAGCCAAGACAAAAAGAGGAAACGACGTAGAAATCAGCTGTGGTAATGGAAAGGAAGGAGTTGATTTGAGAGCTACTATAAAAAATCAGAAAATGTCTTAACTAGAACAGAGATCGACTAGAGAGAGGGGAACCTAGGGTAACCCCCAGGCAGTGGTTTTCAGATTTCCCCACAGATAAGAATTGCCAAGGGAGCTTGCTTAAACTGTAGATTCTAGGTCCCCTCTCTTCCAAAAACAGGATTCTGATTCCACAAGAAAGGGAGGCAGAATCTGTATAGACAAAAGTACTGGAAATGTCAGGGGAACACTGTAAAGTATAAGGTGTCTAACCATTATGCCATACATCTGAGACTAATACAAAATAATATTAAATGTAAAAAAATATATAAATAAATAACATGTAATTTGGAGGGTGGGAGAAGAGGATTTTGCCCTGGCCTGGTGGCACAGCTGGTTGGAGCATCATTCCATACACCAAAAAGTTTGCAGGTTTGATTCCTGGTCAGGGTACATAATGTAGGTTGTGGGTGTGATTCCCACTCGGGGTACACACAGGAGGTAACTGATCAGTGTTTCTCATGTCAAAGTTTCTCTCTGTCTCATACATCCACTCTCTAAAATCCAAACATGTCCTCAGGTGAAGATTAATAATAATAAAAGATACAGTATCTAGAGAAAATTGGTTCTGTCCTCAAGAAGCAATACTCCAAGTTCTTGTGTTCACTTCTGAGGTGTTTAAATATTTTAAAATTTATTTTTGTAGATTTTATTCTATTGTAAGAATACTTCAAATGGGATACCTTCCTAACAAATGAACCATACATTATCACTGACTATAGGAACAGTGTCCGTACAGCAGATCTCTGGAGCTTATTCATCATGTTGACTGAAACTTTATGGCTGTTGATTAGTAACTCCCATTCCCTTCCCCCAGCCTCTGGCAACCACCATTCCATTATTTGATTATATGAATTTGACTATTTTAGATAACTCACATAAGTGTTATCATGCAGTATTTGTCTTTCTGTGGCTTGCTTGACTTGGCATAATATCCTTGTGGTTCATGTTACATGTATAATTTCCCTTTTTTTTATTTTTTAAAAGATTTTATTTTTAGACACGGGGCGGGGGGGAGGAGAAAGAGAGGGAAACATCAATGTGTGGTTGCCTCTCCTGCGCCCCCTACCTGGGGACCTGGCCCACAACCCAGGCATGTGTCCTGACTGGGAATCGAACCACCAAAATTTCCCTTCTTTTAAACATAATAGTATTCCATTATAGGTATGTACCACATTTTCTTTATCCATTCATCTGTCAGTGGACATTTAGCTTGTTTCCACATATAAGCTGTTGTAAATAGTGCTCCGAGATCCTGATTTCAGTTCTTTTCATTCAGTACCGAGAAGTAGGACTGCTGGATTATATGGTAGTTCTAGTTTTAATTTTTTTAGGAACCTCCATAATTCTTTTCATAGCAGCTGCACCATTTTGCATTCCCACAAAAATGTACAAGAATTTCATTTTCTCCACATCTTTGCCAACATTTTTTTTGTCTTTGGGGGTTTTTTTGGTAATAGCCATCCAACAGTTGTGACGTAGTATCTTGTGGTTTTGATTTGCATTTCCCTGATTATTAGTTATGTTGAGCATTTTTCATATACCTGTTGGCTATCTGTATGTTTTTTTTCACTATTGAGTTGCAGGAGATACCCCAAGTCTTCAAATCTGGGAGACAGAGGGCCCTCCATCTGGAGAAATAGGAAGGTCAGAATGGAGAAGCCAGTTGAGGACACCTCATTGTAACGCCTCATGTTGTTCTGGCTTTCGGTTGGGAGAGAAAGGGGTGGTTTTTCCATCTCACCATCTTTCCTTCCAGCAGGCAGGACAGAGTTGGGGGTGTGTAAGTGGAGAGAGAGGCAAAGAAGCAAACATAGCCATTTTGGATTTAAGGATTGGTTGTTTCTATTTTTCATCAATATTTTTCATTTCATTTTTCACATCAACAGATTGGGTTTAGGGTTCTCCAGGAAAGCAAGGGAGATGGATAGGGCCCTCCAGGGGTGCAGGAGATAGGGCTGCGTCCGGCACGTCAAGGGTGAGGGGTGGGCACACACATACACTGGGCACTGGAGAAGGCAGTCCTTTGAGCACAGACACCAAAGAGTTAAACAGTCACTACCTGGTTCAGTGTTACAAAACGGGGGGAGTGCCCATAGGAGGTGGGGGTGCCAGACGCAGCATGAGGAGGGTGAATTTGGATTTTCTTTTTTTGTTGTTTTCACTTTTTTCCTTTTAACTTAACATTTTACAAACAGCTAAAAACTACAACACATCACAGCTACAGTGGTGGGGAGGGGTGCACCGAAGAGCAGCCACATGGAGGAGAGTGGGCAGAGGGCAGTTTAACCTACAGGGCTGTTGTGTGGAAAAGGTGAGGTGGAAAAACTGAGGCTCTGGTGCCTGCACTGGGGGCCCCTGGCTTACTGCCCAACCTCTCTGCTTCCAATGAGCTGCTGGGAGGGCCCTGCTTCCTGCCCTTGCCCCAGCGCCTTGTGCTTTTGGATCTGCTGGTTTGACCATATACCTGGTTTCTTTCCCTCCCCGGCTCCCCTGCCTGCGAGGGGGCAGGTTGCGGGTGGGAGGGCAGCTGTGCTGTTACTTTCTGTGCTGTAGCGGGTGGAGCCTCTCACTCCAGAGGAGGCCTGCGCTTGAGAGGCGGGAAGGTGCCCTCAGATCTCCCTAGAGTGCAGTACTCTAATCCCAGCCTGGCCTAGGGCTCCTCCCACCCGGGGCTGGCACAGAAGCGAGATGAGAGGAGGTACTATGGGAGGCAGGGTTGTATGTGTGTCCGTTGAAATTACCCTTGGCTTGTATTTTAGGACAGTATAGTGACACCCCACCCCATGGCACACACACACATACGTAAGTGTTCACGCGCAGTCACACACACACAGTCCTGATGAGCTGCCTCAGAACTTAATATATAAATAAATAAGAATCAGAAAGCTCATTTCATAAAATTCAGGCTTCTTGCTTATAGCCTAAACTGAGAGGGAAGTGGAGGCTAGGGGGCTGAGGTTTATTGCTACTCCCCCAGCATCCAACATGAGGTGCAAGAGAGCACTGGAGGCCCTTCCCACTCCAAGTTCAAGTTCTTTTGGTCCATGGTCTACAGCAAGCTCCAGCCCCCAGCATAACCACATGCCCATGATTTCCCCAGGGCCTAGGCAGAGGGAATGAGGGGGAAGGCAGGAAGCCTGTTCTGAAGCCCCTGGAGCCAAGAAGAGCAAAGGCCCCCCTTACTAACACTGGGGGAGAAGGGTGGGGCCAAGCCTTCTCTTGTGCAAAGTCAAGGGTGGGGAGAAGAGCTGCATCCCAAAACTGGGATGAAGGAGCCTTCCCTGGAGTCCTTGCCCACGGAGTCACACACATGCACGCACACGCACACGAGGCTAAGACACCAAACACAGGGGCACGGGGAGGGAGGGCTCTAGGGGCCAGGGTGGGAGGGCGGAGGAGGGAAGAAGCCGTTGGTCTCACAGTGTGCCTGCCAGCCCCGCAGCCGCAGAGACCCCCTCACTGCAGCACCTGCCCCCGCGTCTCAGGCAGCTTCAGGGCCAGAGAGCTCCCAAGGGCCAGGGCAGCAGAGGCAAAGAGGATGGGGGCGGCCTTGGTGATCCCCACAAAGGATGTGAAGATGCTGATCCCCAGCACCGCCGCCAGCTTGCACAGGGCATTCAGGAAGCCGAAGGCTGTGGTCCTGCTCGGGGGTTCCCCAGTGCAGCACAGATGGGCAGGGCAGGGAGAAAGACAAAGGGGGAGGGTGGGAGGGTTTGCGGGGGGAAGGCGGGTATGGGGAAGTAGAGGCAAGATGGCAGGCAGTGCCCAAGAGGGAGGGAGGGACAGAGGTCAGAGAGGTGAGAGAGGCACATCAGGGAACAGAGATGAATTGGGAGGCAAGGGGCAGAGAGACCAAAAATGAGGTTGAAGTTAAGACTTCAAGGAATGAATATAAAAGCTAACCAGCTCTTAGAGGAAAAACTCAATGGGAATGTGTATCCTTTTAGCCCTAAAGATGCTTTTCCCATTCAGCCCCGCTTCCTCACCCGGCTTCTCCCCCGCCCTTGAGGCCCTCCCACTGCTGCCCCGCCCCCACCACACTCCAAGTACCTCTTGTCCGAGGGGTAGAGTTCCACAGTCAACACGTCCAGCGCATTCCAGGATGCAATGCTGACCCCCCCAAAAAGGCAGAGCAGAGCAATCATGGCTGACTCGCTGTTCCCAAAAGACAGGAAGAAGCAGGAGACACAGGACATCACGCTGGAGCCAGCTGGAACCGGGAGAGGGGAGGGCAGTGTGAGTCTGGCGGTAGTAGAACCCCTTCACCGCCCACCCTGTCCCATCAGCTGGCGTTGAGGGCAGCCTGGGATGAGGCTCTTTTTCCGAGGTACCCAATAGGGAGGCTCTTCACTCATCCCCAGCCTCCCTTATAGTTT